ACAGGGCACACTTCTGTTCTGCCAGTTTATCAACTCCAGTAAAAAGAGAGGCTCTCTTTTCTAATCCTTTCAGACAAAGTCAAGTCATCATTTATTCACTTGGCAAGTCTTTACTTATTATGTATACTTAACTATGTTCCAGGCACTGTTCTAAGAATTAAGGAGTCCTCAGTAAACAAAGTGGAAGGATCTTTACCATTTTGGAGCTTACATTCTAGTGGGTGAGACAGACAGTAAACAATAAGAGGTTAATAAGTACTCTGAAACACTTATACCTGGGACGGAGTTGGAGAGTATTGGAAGGGGCGGGCAGAACCCAGTCAGTACGCCTGAAAGGATGTCACTTGGAAGCGCCAACAAACTCTCATGAGCAGGAAGGAAGGGCCTGGACTCTCATGGGGTCTGCACCCACCATTCCTGTTTCAGCCACACCAAGCCTGACGCTGGGAAGCCATCTCTGGTGGGAGTGGGCAGTCCTCTTGGTTATCAGCTCCCACATGACTTTGCTTCTCTGCAAAAATGTTTTCCCGACCTTGAAATCTAGGAGCGCCCATGAGGATGCACCTTGCGGGTCTCCGAAGAGTCAAAGTTGAGAATTGTAGTTTAGTAGCACTGCAGTAATATTTACTCCAGAAAGGGCCACATTGGGTTGGGCTTGGCTTCAGCAATATTGGAAGGGCTTGGGGGTTCCCCCATGTTATTGTGAGGCCATCTGAGGCCCTGAGGTCAGAGACTAAGGCATCAGGTGATGCTGTCTTGTCCTCAAGATGACCATCTGAACAAGAGTGGCCATGGTGTCCGTCTCAGATGCCATCTCAAAGGGTTTGGTAATGACTGCCTAGAACACAGTGTTAAGTGCAGATCCAAGCTCAGCAGGAGCATGTGCTGGGATCCACTAGTAATGTCTGCTGGGATGTGGGAATAGTGGGTTGTGCATACATTCTAGAGATTTGCCACACCTGATCAAATGGCTAACATTGCGAAAAATGACCAGCTGGAAATAGATGCAAAGCAACAGCAGAGTGATTGTCCTAAAGCCGTGTGTCACAATGAAAATGGATTCTGGGATCAGGCCACTCCTGGCTCCACCACTTGCATACTGTGTAACTTTGGGCTAGTCAAATACCTCTGAGCTTCAGTTTTCTCTCTCTCTCTCTCTCTCTCTCTCTCTCTCTCTCTCTCTCTCTAATTGATATCTCTGTTGCCCAGGCTGGAGTGCAGTGGCATGATCACTGCTCACCACGGCCTTGATCTCCTGGGCTCAGGAGATCCTTCTGCCTCAGCCTCTCTAGTAACTGGGACTACAGGCATGCACCACCACACCCAGCTAATTTTTTTTTTTTTGTAGACACCAGGTCTCACTATGTTGCCTAAGTTATCCTCAAACTCCTAGGCTCAAGCAATCCTCCTGCCTCAGCCTCCAAAAGTACTGGGATTACAAGCATGGGCCACTGTACCTGGCTATCTCATTATTATAGTGATAAGACTATGCAGGATTTCTGAAAGATTAAATGAGGTCATGTATACAAAATTATTCATATAATAGTAGAAACTCAGTAAATCCTACTTCCCATCCTCTCCTCCTATATCCATTCAACCTGAGAAGGTAAGAAGTTGGGAAGGAGAGGGAGAAGACCCTAAAATAAGTAGAATAGGGGGAGCACAGAGGGACTGACCTAGAAATAAATGGAAAGTAGAACAATTGGAAGGTAATGGAGAATTTTTAAAAGCCAACCCTGAAGCTTCCAGAACAGGAGATACAAGCTGAACTGGCTAGTGCACAGCCTTCCAAAGAGACTCTTGGTGTGGTGGTTAAGAGTGTGTGGAACAGGGTCAGACAATGTAGGTTGAAAACCCAGCTCCACCACATGCCGACTATGTGATGTCACCTGTCTGTGCCTCAGTCTTCACATTTGTAAAATGGGAGTGGTGACAGCATCTTCCCCATAGAGTTGATGCACTGGTTAAATGAGAGCTGTGGACAGCACCAGCACAGCCCCTCGCACATAGTAGGACTATAATAACGTAGTGGTTGTAATCACCATGGCAACCTGATGAACACCTGCTCCCTCTGTGGCCTGGAAATACACCATCAGGTCCCGTTCTTTCTATCACTCCATCATCACAGGATAATGGGGGACATTGACGACATCGCCCCAGAAAAGAATTCCCCCTGCTCCATCCAGGGGATGGGCCCCTCTCATGCCCAGGGCTTAGGGGGCGTCCAGGCCTGCAGGGTGACCACACCATGCAGAGGTCTCTCTGAGCCCCATCCGAGCAGATGGTATCTCTGGGGTCCATCCTTAACAATCACAGTAGCAGGACCTTGTCACATCCCTGGAATTCACCAAGAAGCCTTGCAATTCGCTATTTGGAAACAATTTGCCTGGTTCTTGGCCTCTGAGCATCAATTAATGGGGACGAGACCATAAATGACAAGAAAGCAGGAAGAGACACAGAGGATGAGGTCACAGCAATCACAGGCTCAGAGGAGGTTCCCTGGAAAGGGGGCTGGCAGCGGGGTGTCCTTCACCTCCAATTGCACAGGTGGGGACTGCTTTCCGCCAGGAGCCTCCAGGGAACCACAGCCAGAAGCCTGTGGCCAGGGCCTCCAAGCGCGGGACCAGAAGGCTGTGCGGAGGCCACCCTGAGTGTCCAGAATGCAGGCAGGCCAACTTGGTTATCCCCTACCTCCACTCAGGCCTGTCCCGTGGCCCTACTGGACCCACTGTCTCTGAGCCTGTCCTGAACAGTCTCAGCTTTGTGGGACCTGTGGTGCAAAGCAACTCTGTCATCCCCACCAGCCCTGCTGCAGGCTGCAAGTACTCCCTGGAGATGCGAAGGACTCCTTGGGGCCCTTTTCCAAGAAGGTCTGACCGACACCTGTCGGGAGGTGGGCACTCAGAGTCCAGGCCGACTCCAGTGTGGGTCTACGTGCTGGTTGTGTGACCATGTGAACCCCTCCAAGCTTTGGTTTTCACATCTGTAAAATGTGAATTTGTTTTAAGGAGACAAATGGGCTTCACACGGTGCCTGTCCCATAGAGAGGGCTTGAGCAGTGGAGCTTGCTGGTGCAGTTGCCGGAGTAACTGCTCATAGGAAAATAGCACAGATCTTCTGGAACTTGCATAAGGCCGTCTCCTAAGGATGTAGAAGAGGAAGCAGTTGTCTCACTCTGCCTCCAGGCTCGCTCATGGGGCTCTTGGCAAGCCTCGGGTCTGTCCCTGCTGGCTGGCTGTAGGTCAGAGTCACCAGCTTCCAGTCACAAGGCCCCTCCACAGGGCAACTCACAACCTGGTCTCTAGCTTTTCTTTTTTCTCATTTTATTTTTTTAATGTAAAGATGGGGTCTTGTTATGTTGCTCAGGTTGGTTTCAAACTCCTGGGTTCAAGCAATCCTCCCTCCTCAGCCTCCCAAAGTGCAAGAATTACAGGTGTGAGCCACTGCACCCAGCCACCTCTTGCAACGGCAAGAAGATTCGAGAAAGGGGAAGCCACTGCCTTTCTGTCACCTGATCTCAGAAGTGACAGCCTCTTATTTTTGCAAGTCACGAGGTCCCACCCACACTCAAAGGGAAGGGAGTCACAAGAAGTCCAGATATGAACACCTGGAGGCAGGAAGGAGGGGAGGCTAGGAATCTAGGTAGGAACCTTGAAGGCTGACTACCCTTCAGTTTGCATGCTTACTGAGTGCCAGACCCTGTGTCAATGCTTTTCAAAACAGCGACAAGAGAGGTTTTTGAATAGTATCATCACTGGTGTCAGTCTGTTTAACCCTCTCTATGACCCAGTGGGACAAGTAGGACCTGCCTCTTGATTGGGAAGAGCAGAACACGTGACTTTCCAACAGCGAATATGGTGAATTCTCTCCTTAAAAGCATGGGCAGAGCACAGTGGTGCATGCCTGTAATCCCAGCACTTTGAGAGGCCAAGGAGATAGGATTGCTTGAGCCCAGGAGTTTGAGACCAGCTTGGGCAGCATAGTGAGACCTCATCTCTATAAAAAAAAAATCAAAAAATTAACTGGGCATAGTAGCATGCACCTGTGTTCCCAGTTACTCCAGAGGCTGAGGTGGGCGATTGAGGCTGCAATGAGCCATGATCGTGCCACTGCACTCCAGCCTGGGCAACAGAGTGAGAGCCTGACTCAAAAAACAAAAACAAAATCCTGAAGGAAAGGGGCTGGCAAAAGATAAAATGGATACTAAGAGGCCCTCAAAAAAGAGAGAAAATCCTACCAAATACTACGACTGTCGCTATTGTATAGGCAAGAAAGTCGAGGCTCAGAGAAGTCAGGGAATTGCCTAGAGATCAGGAGGAGGGACTGGAATACGAACCGTGTTTTCAGTTTTCACATGCCACTCCGCAAAGGTCAGACTGCTGTCCTTGGAATCCAGTTGTGGACGGTCTGGGCCACCCTGAGCTCGTAAGGTTGACCCTCTGACTAATGGGGTCAGGAAGCCAGCAACATGGTAGTCAGGGGAGCCTTGCAAATGAGCCATAATGTGGTAATGTGATTTCCTTGCCCGGGGCAGGCTGAGCATTCTGGGCCAGGGGAGCAAACGCCTTGGCCTGTCTGGCTGGGTCTCGCTGGAGGCTGGAGGGCCCCTTGATCATTGTAGCCAGCACCATCCATGGGGGTTAAAATCGAAGGGCAGAGCTAATCCCATTGGGAGGAAACTTCCTTGAGTCCTCAAAATTAGCAAAGCATACCCAGGAGGCACAGGGAGAGAGGGCTGACCCCATCCTGGGGTCCCTATCCTGACCCCAACAAGCTCAGAGCAGAGCAGCCTTCAGACGTGGGCAGAGTCATAGCCAGAGGGAATGGGTACTCATCCCCAGCCAGGTCTGGTTCCCTGTCCCACATCTGCCACCATCTGTCTGTGGGACCCAGCACAAACCACAAAACCCTTCCAAGCCCGTCACCTGCCCTGTGAAATACAAGTGTCCCCACAGGGACACCATGAGGACAAGAAAACATAGGGTCTGCAGAGCACTCACCGGTAGATGCTGCATCAACAGTCGCTCTGCTGGGTGTATGGGACGTGCCAGGCAGAGAGCCACTGCTTTCACACTGTGTCCCTCATGCCAGGCTCAAACTCGGCCCCTAGTCACATTTAGTGAATCCGTGAAAGGATCGAGGAAGGATTCAATTCTGAACAGGATAAAGGTTTGGAAGACGCGAGTCCAAAAGCTCAAATCATCCACAGATGTAGCGTCCACACGAAGTGGGCTGTGATCCTATTTCTAAAGACAGCTTTAGCCGACGAATCCATGTTGTCCCCCCCATGCCTGGCAGTGGGGTGCGTTTTACCCACTTCAAAGAGCAGCTGTCCCCAACACCCAAGAGGTAGCCAGGTGTGAGGCTGGTTATGTGCGACTCTTGTCTCCTGCTGAAAACTGAAAAGGGGCTCCCCAAAACCTCCTAGGGATGTGGGTGGATCTGGGAACAGTCCCAGCTCAGCTACATCCCCCAGGCAGACATTACTAATGGATCACAGCACACTCCTCTGCCATGCCTGGATTGGCCACATGCCCTATTCTGGACCCTTCTGTGTGATCTGCAGCAATTCTCAACTTGCTAGAAAGCCCGGAAGCCTTGGGAGAAAGGCTTCACCTCTCTAAACGTCAGAAAATGGGCTTCCCATCGGCATCTGTCAGAGCTGTAATAAGATCTCGGAGAGGGCATGTGTACCACAGTGCTTGGTTACTGACATTAACCCTCAATGAAAGGCGGTTCCCACTGTTCCTAAGTTCTGTGCTTCTTAGGATAATTCTGTGACTCGTAGGGACTCTCTGGGGTCCCCAGAGGTGACCGTATTTCCCTAGAAGAGACCCAGGAGAGGCAGCTGATGGGGGGGGAGGGAACTGGGTCTTTCTGGAAGCTTAGGGTGGGCAAGGACAGGTGAAGTGACCCTTCTCCTGGCAGTCCTCTTAAATGTCTTATGCCACTGCCCAAGGCAGTCTTGGTGTTTTCTCTTTTGCTTGGCACAGGGTTCCAAGAGACCATCCATCGTAGCTCAGCACCCACCATTTCCTAGGAGATGCACTAAGACAGGGGCAGGCATGTGGCAGAGAGAAGACATGCTGGCAGTCACAGCTCCAATGGTCTCCTGTCCGTCGGGGCTCCTGGCCCCAGGGATGCGTGCCGTGTGCAGGCATGTGTGTATGCGCACAACCCTGTGTGTGTCTATTGCATGGGAGATGTTCTATCCTCCGCAGCCCCGTCCTCCTGGACCCGTGGCGAACCCAGCACACAGGGTTGCCGGAAGAGCCTTCACATCCGCCAGGAGGGGCTGACTGCCCGTCTTCGGGGGCTGCTGGCTGCAGATGGGCAGATATTAAATTCTGCTCAGCCTCCCATCTGGCAGCCATTCTGGCTGGCCAGGAAAATTCCCCACAGGCTGGCTCTGGGCTCTGGACAAGTCGTTTTGCCCCAACCCAACCCTCCGGTGACCCTCAGAACTGTGTTCAGCTCATCAGAGGATCTGCACCCCAAGCCGAGTGCCTCCCCTGCTCCCCATTCAAGACAGCCTGCCTACCCTCACCTCCTAGTCTGCTTCCCGACAGCAGGGGCTAAGAGCACAGGATTTGGCATCTGATTAACCAGGGATCATGTCCTGGCTCTATTGGGCATTTTCCTGAACTTCTCTGAGTCTCAGTTTCCTCCTCTGTGACCCTGTCATGGCAGGATGAAGTAGGAGATAACACACGTAGGGTAGGCTCTCTCCACCCCGGCACTGCTGACACGTTGGTCTAGATGGTTCTTTGGGGTGGGGCTGTCCTGGGCACTGGAGGTTGGTAAGCAGCGTTCCTTGCCTCTACCCATTAGAGACCAACAGCACTTTCCCCCCAGTTGTGACAACCAAAATGTCTCCAGGCACTGTCCAATGTTGCCTGGGGGGCAGAGTCACCCCATGGAGAATCACTGGTGTGGAATGTTTCCTGCTGTGCCTGCTGTGTGGTCAGCACTTGATGGATGGAGGCTCTGGCTGGAGCTGGCAACTGTTTTCTGATCTAAAGAAGACAACACTGTGATGGGTGGTTAGGGCACAGTAGGGTATTCCACCAATATTCGTTATTACAATTGTCATTGTGCCACCCAAGGACCTTGGTTGTCTGGTCCCCCCAGAATGGAAAATCAAAGGAGGCTTTGAAATCTGTGCGTGGTTCAACGTTCATTCATCAAACACATATGGAGAGTTACACCCCGGGATACATACACGTATGGGTCCAATCCTTAAGTAGGTAAGAGAAAGGGGCAGGGGATGGGTGATGCCTGTGGTTGGAAGAGTGCCCACTTTCTTTTTTTTTTTTTTTTTTGAGTTGGAGTCTCACTCTGTCGCCCAGACTGGAGTGCAGCACCTCCACCTGCTGGGCTCCGGCGATCCTTCCACCTCAGCCTTCCAAGTAGCTGGAACTACAGGCGGGTGCTACCATGCCCGGCTAATTTTTGATTTATTGTACAGATGAGGTCTTGCCAACTTGCCCTGGCAGATCTCGAACCCGCGGGCTCAGGCAATTCACTCACCTCAGCCTCCCAAAGCGAGGGATTACACGCTGAGCCACCGAGCCCGGCTGAGTGCTCACTTTCATCTCACAGGGCAGTTGACATTTTGGGGGAAAAGTGCAGAAGCAGCAGCCCTCCCCCCGTCCCCCACCTTCTCCTTGGCTGGGACCATGTCCCTCCAACATCCCCCAACCAGTAGTGCCACAGCCTGGGTGGCCCTTCCCTGGCCTCCGGTTCTCTTCTCAACCTTGTTATCCCCAGAAGCGCTATAATCCTTCTCACTGGCCATCTGCTGTGCCCGAGACGGAGACGGTGCCCAGGGCACGGAGCTTTCAATGCTGAAACCAGGGGCATTCCGGGTACACCAGCAAGGCTCTGGACACACCACCTGTGGCCTCTCAGCTTGCAAGCCCATTACCCATGTCCTCCTGGACTTGTGTGGACAAGTCACCCCAGGGTGAGGCAGGCCCACCATGCATCCTGCCAGCCTTCTAATCCCCCCGAAAAGGCAGGCTCGGGGTCAGATGGCTCAACAACTGCCTCACAGCTGCCCAGCCAAGCCTACCCGCCTGAGGCTCTGAGGCGAGAGAATCCTGGAACAGATGGGAAGACCCAGAGAGGGGAAGGGATTCGTCCAGGACCACCCTCAGGGTTAGTAGTAAAACTGGGACCAGAGGCCAGCACGTCTGGATAAAGAGGAACAAAAATTTAAAGCAGAATAATGATAACAGCTGAGGTTTATCAGGTTCTTACCGTATCCCAGCACTGGCATCATGTCACTGAACACCCCCATCCTGACTCCAAAAGTTAGTACTTTTATTGTCAGTACCATGTTGCAGAGGGGGAAACTGAGGCATCAATCTGTTCAACGACTTGCCCTAAGGAACCCATCTGGGAAATGGTAAAGTCAGGATTCAAGCCCAGGAAGTCAACACCACAGTTAGAGAAGGTAACCTTTGTGCCACACGGCCCCCTGTAATCAGCCTCTCACCCCGGCCCCTGGTGGCACTGCTATGGGCACGTCCGAGTTGGGGACCCTTGCCAATTCATGTAGTGAGGAATACACATACACACACTTTCACTTATTGTGGGTCTCTACCTGAGGGTCCTACAGAAGAGGACAATGCTGACCTTAGATAATGACTTGCTAATGGTGGTGTTTTGGGCACTGTGGTAGCTAGAACTGTGGCAGACTGGGGCTCCTCCCAGAGTTCTTCACTCCTTACCGTGTTGGAGAACCACTAACTCCATCATTCCCTGAGTCCTGAGGAACAGAAGTGACAAGAGGCAGAGTGAAAGGAGGGATGGTATTCAATCCATCTTCATTATTGAGGCCAAGCATGATGGTTCATGTTTATTTTTTATTTTTTTGAGTTGGAGTCTCACTCTGTCACCCAGACTGGAGTGCAGTGGCCGCTCCCGGCCACCGCAGCCTCGACCTGCTGGGTTCTGACGATCCTTCCGCCTCAGCCTTCCGAGTAGCTGGAACTACAGGCACGCGCTACCACACCCGGCTCATTTTTTATTTATTGTGGAGATGAGGTGTCGCCAAGTTGCCCAGGCGGGTCTTGAACCCACGGGATCAGGCAATTCACTCACCTCAGCCTCCCAAGGCGCAGGATTACAGGCTGAGCCACCGAGCCCGGCTGGTTCATGTTTATAATCCTAGTGCTTTGGGAGGCCAAGGTGGAAGGATCACTTAAGCCAGGAGTCAGAGACCAGCTTGAGCAAAATATCAAGATGCTGTCTCTACAAAAACTTTTTTTTTAATTAGCCAGGCATAGTGGTATGTGCCTGTAGTCCCAGCTACTCAAGAAGCCAAGGACAGAGGATTGCTTGAGCCCAGGAGTTGAGGCTGCAGGGTACCATGAGCATGTCACTGCACTCCAGCTGAATGACAGAGCAAAGACCCTATCACTAAAAATAAGTAAATAGGTCTGTAATCCCAGCACTTTGGGAGGCCGAGGCGAGTGGATTGCCTGAGCCCGCGGGTTCGAGACCCACCCGGGCAACTTGGCGAGACCTCATCTCTACAATAAATAAAAAATTAGCTGGGCATGGTAGTTTGCGCCTGTAGTTCCAGCTACTTGGAAGGCTGAGGCGAAAGGATCGCCAGAGCCCATTAGGTCGAGCCTGCGCTGGCCGGGAGCGTGCCACTGCACTCCAGTCTGGACGACCGAGTGAGACTCCAACTCAAATAAGTAAACAAATAAATAAATAATTTAAAACTCTCATTGAAACTCTATTAGGTGTTGGAGAACCAGTCATGAGCCCAGCCAAGACAGACAGACAAGCAAGGCCAAGGGCAGTGTGATCTATGTTGGGCTGGAGGTGAGCCCAGAGGACTCTGGAAACAGAGAGGCCACTTTACCCCATCTTAGAAGGTAGGAGAGGCTTCCTGGAAGAGGTGAACTTTCTATCAACATCTGAAGGATGAGTAGGATTTAGCCAAGTGAAGAGCAGTAGGAAGGGATCCCCGGCATAAAGAAGAGCTTGTGCAAAGGACCAGACCAGGAGTGGAAGACAGTGGCCCATTCTGGCAACTGGGAGCCACTCTTCAGCTGAAGTATAGGTCACGAGGTACGGAGAAGGAAGGCAAGGCTGGGAAGGTGGGCAGGGGCCAGGTCACACTGGAGCCGGTAGATCATCCTGTCTTGGGACAATGGATGGCCGTGGATGGGCTTGAGTAAGGAGGCCACAGGATTCTATTTGGGTTTTAGAAAATCTCTCTGTCTGCCAGGTAGAGAATGGATTGGATAGGTGGGGTAGAGCCAGTGTGGACATGGACTGTCTTATTAATTCTCCAGTTATCTTCCGTGTTTATCATGGTG